GCTCCCAGCCAGGGGGCAGATTTACAGCGAAGCTACAGCACAATCCACTGGAAACACCAAGCGAAGTGCAGCTGACCAGAACTACTGCATCTAGGGAGCACTGATGGAGCCACCTGGGACCTATAGGAGGACTGTGGTTGTGGAAAGGGAGGACCCCCCGCCCCGCCCCCGCCTGTGTGGCCGCTGAGAGGCAGGAGGGATATCATGGCTGCAAAGCTCCTTCCCTCTGGGGGTGTGAGGCCTCAACCCCACACGGGGCTCCCACACCCAGAGCAGCAGAGATGGGAAGAAGAGCCGGCATAGCACTGGGCACAGGGAACCTTGGTCTGCGCCTTCCCAGGGGAGGAGCCCTCTTGTCAGCCGCCCAGCTGAGAACGTGGCTCCAGGCTCTGGTGCTGGAGGGGCTTCGCTGCCATGATTCCGTCTGGAAGAGGAGTCTGCGGGCTGCACCCAGCAGCGGCTTTGGGGAATCCTCTACTGTCTTTTTTAAAAATATATTTTTATTGATTTCAGAGAGGAAGAGAGGTGAGAGAGATAGAAACATCCATGATGAGAATCATTGATTGGCAATCTCACTTCTGGATATTTATCCAAAGAAATCCAAAACATTAATTCAAAAAGATATATGCACCCCCACGTTTATTGCAGCACTATTCACAACAGCCAAAGATCCTCTACTGTCTTTTTTAAAAATATTTTTTTATTGATTTCAGAGAGGAAGAGAGGTGAGAGAGATAGAAACATCCATGATGAGAATCATTGATTGGCAATCTCACTTCTGGATATTTATCCAAAGAAATCCAAAACATTAATTCAAAAAGATATATGCACCCCCACGTTTATTGCAGCACTATTCACAACAGCCAAAGCATGGCTGGTCTCAGAGGGGAGGCTTGGGGGCGATGGGAAGGGATTAACCAAAGAATTTATATGCACATAGGGATCGTCAAGGACACAGATAATAGTGTGGTGAAGGCCTGAGATAAGGCAGGGATTGGGTGGAGGAAGGAAGTGAGTGGGGGAGGGGGGAATAGGGGGCATTTATAATAATGTCAACAATAAAAAATAAATTTAAAAAAAGATAAGAAAGCATCTTAAGTGTCCACTGATAGATAATTGGATAAAGAAGTTGTAGCCCTAGCCAGTTTGGCTCAGTGTATGGAGTGTTGGCCTGAGGACTAAAGGGTCCCGGGTTCAATTCTAATCAAGGGCATATGTCTGGGTTGCAAGCTCAATCCCCCCAGTAGGGGGTGTGCTGGAGGCAGCCAATCAATAATTCTCTGTCATCATTGATGTTTCTATCTATCTATCTATCGCTCTCCCTTCCCTCTGAAATCAAATAAACATATATTTTAAAAAATAAGAACAGAAAACTATATGCACTCTATAATATATACTAAGTTAATATTTAT